CCGCACCCCAGCTGGCAAAAGTTGTGGATCCCCATCGCGGTTTGGAACCGACGGGCCGTGCACCAACGATTCCAGCCAGTGCTATAGACAGCGGCGACAACTCGCGGCGGCACGAGGCGACGGAGCCGCTGCAATGTGAGCTCGAACCGCTCTGCTATGATCCTCGGCGTGCCGAGCAAGGCCCGCCGGTCGAGCTTGCGCCGGATTCGAAAATGCGGCGGGGCCCTCTGGGTTTGCCCAGTTCCCGGGCAGCCGCCTGGAAACGGCGCCCACCCGTAGCGAAGAGCCGCCCCACGTGGTCAACGGTGACCCCGCTCGTGGCTAGCTGCGCCACTGTGCCCAGCAAGACCCGGGGCATCGCAGCATCGAACCACCGTGCCCAGGCCGCCGCCCTGATCAGGTAGCTGGTCGCGCCTCTGGCCGCCCTGAGCTGGAGCGCCTGGCCATCCAGCTGCAGCCCCCCATGGGCACTGTTTTCACGAAAGAAGGCTCTCATCTGAGCAGCGCGCGCCACGACCTCGAGCGACCCGAAAGAGCAGGGCATGCCGAAGTGTCCCTTGAGGGACCAAAAATCGCTCTGCACGCACCAGAAACCAAGACCTGGCGCAGCCCGCCGCATCGCCCACGCTTCGGCGAGACGCGCCTCCTGGGAGGGGAGCGCCACTTGGGCGATAAATGATAATACTGGCAAGGCGTATGTGTTGCACGCAACCGTAGCGAAGTGGAGCCCCATCTCGCTCCAAGTCCAGCCTTCCACCCGCTCCCGGAATCGCTTCACGGCCGCGCGCCGCATTTGCTCCGCTCTGCCCGGCCCAACGGCGCAGCCCAGGTAGACTGCGGCGCGCTTCCGGGGCAGGCCAGCCCGCGCCGGACAAGCCTCCGAGACGACGGCGGAGGCGGCGTCCAGCGTGTCCCCCCACAGCGGGATGCCGACCGTCTTGGAGAGGTTGACAACCATGCCAGACAAATCACCAAATACAGGGAGGGCTTGCTGCAGGATCGGCAACTGCCTCCTCGTGTCGGCAAGCACGATGCCAACGTTGTCCGCGAAGGCCCTGATCAGCACCTCCAGCCCCAGTCTGCGGCTCAGCACGCGTAGGGCCAAATCCATGGCGGCCGCGAAGATCAACGGTGAGAGGGGGCATCCTCGTTGCGCCTGTGACACCCATTGGCCCAGTGGCGATTCCCAGCGCTGTTTGTAAGCTGCTGCTTAAGCCGGTTCGACACATCGACCAAAGAGAGGGGCCGCGTGCTTTCTGCCGTCTACGCGTCCCCCAATTCTGGGTGCTGTTCCACCCGCGTCTTCGGCATGCAACACAGGGTGCCCAAATTGAAGGCGTGGGCGCCCAGCCCTGCCCCACCCGGCTCGTCCGCGCAGGCAGCTCGTAGGTCTGCTATCGCCGTCGGTGTCCACAAACCGCGCGCAGGAGGTGAAGAGGACGTCAACTGCCAGAGGGCGAAGCTCTTACCATAACGACACACAGATGCCATCCGGCCCTGGCGCGGAGGGCTGCGACTGGTCCAAAGCAGCTTCCACGTCTTCTCGCCGAACCTGCCAGCGGCTGGAGTCGGAGGACAATCCTGCGGGACCGTCCGCGCTGCACTCTTGAAGCCAAGACTCCAACTTGTCTGCGTCGACATTCCCCGTGGCACAAACCTCGCTCCAATGACGGGCCAACTCCCTGGCCATAGCCTCTGGCAAAGTGGCGACGACGCCTCCCCGTGTTTTCAGCGCGCGCAGGCTGGCCCCAGCTCCCGGTTTGAGTCTCCAGATTTTGCTTGCTATTGTCTCGCGCCGCGCGGCTGCAACCTCCGCCGGCAGCTGCGCCGAGACCCCGCTGAGGTCGCGCAGGTCCTGGCGCATGTCCCCCCGAGCGAGCTGCAGCACCCTGTCGCGCAAGACTTGGAGAGCGGCCCCGCCCCCGGCGAAAGCGGCCTGGATCTGGGCCCCGTCAAGCAAGCCTGGGTAGTCGTCAATCGCATGCTGAACGGCGATCCAACGGCCGTCCTCGACCGCGCGCAAGCACCGGATGGCGCATCCCAGCCTGTCCGCGGGCGCGGCGGCAGCTGCCGTCCGCCCGCCCTTGTTCATCTCCAGGCTGATCGTGATCATCGCCCGCTTGCCAGAAGTTGCCTGTGCTCCGCATCGGGCAGATCGCCCTCCCCGCGGAGCTGGTGCCAACGAAGCGCCACCTGCTGAGCCCGTTCCGGCCGTCTGGAAGGCCCCAAGGGCACTGGGCGTGCCTCTCTGGCGCTCCCGGTCGCGGACCTCCGCGCCACCTCCAGGGGGCGGTGCGCCGAAAGATGCCGACTCCAGTCCACAGCCGCACATGGCCATGTTCTGGTGAGCTGATCTGCTACGTGGACGTTCACGCACGCCCGGTCCAGACGCGAGGACCCCTGAGAAGTCCGGTGCGTGTGTTCTGGCTGTCGTACTTCGAACAACCCATTCGGAGCGAAGAGCGCGTTCTCAAAGTCTGCGTGCTCGCGCTCGTCGCCCCCGTCTGTCCGCGCCCCGGAATCGAAGTGGATTCGGCCCCCCGCTTCGCGCACGAAGTTCCAATCGCCGAACATCGACGTCAATGCGCGCGAAGCCGGGCGGATATGCCGGGCCAGCGCATCTCGCGCAGCCGCTCGCTCCTGGGACGCCTGTCCAGTGGGCGTGTACACTGAGACGATGTCCATGGAGCCGCTCGGCCCATCCAGTCGCAGCGTCGCGGCCCTCCCCGGCACGGCCTCCACCCAGGCCCCGTCTTGCATGGCCGAGAACTTGCTGAGGAAGGAGGTCTTGACCAGGAGGCCTACGCCGCCCACAGCTGCGGAGCCGTGCGACCACAGGGCGTGAACCCCTCGAGGAAGCTGGGGCGTCTTAGCTGCCCGTTCTGCGCTGTGGGCCCCCCTGGATGGCGACGAAGTCGGCGGCGCTCAACAGGCCCAGGCCGTGCCGCTTCTTGCGGCGATGCCTCTGCGCATCCCTTGCGAAAAAAGCCTGCGCGTTCCAGCTGCGGCCCGCGAAATCGCCGACAAATGGCGCCGACGGCGGGCCACCCGGGAACCCCTGCCCCGGAGGCTCCGGGGGTGGAGCCCCTGCGCTGCCAGAAGCTGCCCGCGAACAACGCCGCTTCCGGGGAAGCTCCGCCTGCGGCTCCGTCCCGAAATGCGGTCTCACTGCTGCTGCTGCTGTTGCTGCTGCTGCTGCTGCTGCTGCTGATGATTCACATTGTACTGGAGTCTGCGGTGCTGCTGGATGCGCTGGTGATGCCGCCAGCGACGCTGCCGCCTCCCTCCATGCTGTGAACTGTGGAGCTGATGGAGCTGCACTTCGTGCCGAAACCTGTGGTGCTACTGGGTGTGCTGGCAGTGTTGCCAGCAGTACGGCTGGGTCCCGTCGTTCTGGAACCTGTTTTGCTGCTGGATGCGCTGGCGGTGCTGGCAGTGGATCAGCCAGCTCTCTTGATGCTCGGGACCGCGGAGCTTCTGTGTTCGATGGAGCTGCTGCCTGTGGTACTGCCGAGCCCCGCCGTACTGGAAACCGGGATGCTGCTGTATAAGCTGATGCTGCTGTCAGTGCCACTGTCGCCTCCCGTCGTAACGGAGACTGTGGTTGTGGTGCTGCTTGGTGCTCTGGTGATGTCGTCAGTGGCACCGCCGTCCACCGCCGTGCTGGAGAGCACGACGCCGCTGGATGCGCTGGCGGCGCTGGCAGTGGGGCCGCAGAGTCCACATGCGCTGGGAACTGTGGTGCTGAAGGGAACGCCGGGGCTGCGCCCAGTGCCATTGCCGAGTCCGCTTGTGCTGAATATAGTGGCACTGTTGGATGCGTTCCTGCTGATGCTGACGGTAGTGCCCAATCCCGTCGTACGGGAGGTAGTGGTGCTTCTGGGTGCGCGTGCGCTGCTGATGAGGGTACTGCCAGACCCCGTCGCATTGGAAGGGGCAGTGCTGCTGCTGCTGCTGCTGCTGCTGCTGGATGTCGGTGTGCTGCTGGCGACGGTACTGCGAGGTCCTGTCACATTTGAGGTCGTAGTGTTGCTGGATGCGCTGGTGCTGCTGCTGACGGTAGGTCCCCTCGTGCTGGAGGTAGTGGTTCTGCTGCATGCGCCGGTGCTGCTGCCGACGAACCTGCCAGGGCCCGTCGAAGAAGAGGAGGTGGGTCTGCTGGGCGCGACGGCGTTGCTGTGGACGGTACTGCCAAGTCCCGTCGTATTGTAGGTAGTGGTGCTGCCGAATGCTCTGGTACTGCTCCTGATGGTTCCGTCAGGTCTGGTCGTGCTGGATGCTGTGGTGCTGATGGATGCGTTGGTGCTGCTACTGAAGGTACTGCCAGGTCCCTTCGTGGAGGAGGTAGTGGTGAAACTGGATGCGCTTGCGCTGGCGCTGCTGTATGCGCTGGTGCTGCTGCAACCGACGGATGTGCCAGATCCTGTCGTAGTGAACGTAGTGGTGCTGCTGGGTGCACTGGTGCTGCTGGGACTGCCAGGTCCCGTCGGGCTGGAGGTAAATGCGCTGCTGGGTGCGGGAGTGCTGTGTTGCTGACGGAGCTGCCATGTCCCGATGTAATGGAGGTAGTGGTGCTGCTGGGTGCGCTGGAGCCGCTGCTGACGGTGCTGTCCTGTCCCGTCGTGCTGGAGGGAGTGATATGCGAAAATGTGCTTCTGCGTTTGCGTCGGGCGCAGCAGGTTGCTGCGGTGCCAGGGGCGCAGCGTCGGGAGGGGGGGGTTGGAGTGGGAGACGTGGGAATGGGAACGGATGAAGGAATCGAGTCGGACGTCGGATTGGGGAGGGGTAGAGGGTAAGGGTTGTATGCCGAAGCCAGTGCAGCGGAACTTGTCGGCCGTCGTGGCGCGGACGAGGATGGAAGTATTGGAGAACGTGCAGCCGCGAATGTCGAATTCGGCCTTGAGTTCCACGGGGCCCCGTCTTCTGCGTGCCCCAGCCCGTCGCGCCAGACCATGAGGGTGCTCTCCCGCCGGCGCTTGCGGGCCCTCCTCGTCGCAGATCTACGGCCTCCTGCCGTGGCGGCGAAAAGTCGCCGCCGCGAGCGCGTCGCTGTGCACCTGCGCCGGGACGTAAGCCCCGTTGGCGAGTATCACTTCGCCGTCGATCTGCTGTTGCAGCTTCGTCGCGTCGTCGATGTTCTGGAGACAGACCTCGACATCGCCAGAGGGCCCCCCCCTCGATGACAGAGTTGCCATCCAGCTGTGGTGCGACAGCGGCTCGCCCCCGGCCACCTCCGCGAAGTCGAGGCCCATCTTCTCGCCGACCTTTTCCATGAAACGCCGCAGAAGGGCTGGTGGATCCGCTCCGAGTGGGCACCGCAGATGGATCAAAGCCTGGCCATCCTGGCCCTGGTCGCCGCCGCGACGCGCCTGCCTTGCAGCGCCCCGCGCCACCGTGTCGAGAACGCTTGGCTTCGCCCACGTGCGACCTCCGTGAGATCGTCGCCATCGGACCTGCATGGTCGCGCGGCAGGGCTGGCCCCGAATGAGCCGCGACAGCGCCGCCACCCAATCAGTCTGCGAGGCAGTCGCGTGCGCGAGGGCCGCTGATGGCGAAATCAGCACAATGTCCTCGATGAGCTCCCGGAGCTCCTTCAGAGCGAATGGCGAAGAGCCTTCCACCACGCGGGCTCCTGGGTCACTGAGCAGAGGTCGCCTGCCAACGAAAGCGCGGGCTAATGGCGTGGAAAGGGCTGCACCCTTGACGAACATGCATGCTTCGAGCTCCGAGGCCCGCGCTTCGGGGATGTAGCCCTTGAGTTGGATGCGCTCTCCACCGCTGGTGAAACCAGAACTCCTTAAGGGCCCCTCCCATCTCACCACCGCCCTGTCGCCGAGCTGCGCAAGCGCCCGCCTCGTCTTCATGTGCTCGGTATCAGCGCAGTCCACCCAGATCACGTTGAAGCCGCCCTCTGTAACACGTGCTGGCTTCCACGAGACGAACCTATTCTTGGCCGTTCCGCCGCTGCGAGCGATGCGGAATACCGAAAAGGCCCTGGTCAGCGTGACCGGCGCGTCACTGATGGACGCGATCGTTGTGCTCGGCTCCAGGAGGTGGATCTCGCCTGCGATCAGGTGGTCCCACCGGGTCGTCAGAGCGCGACCTTGCTGCCATAAGTCGCCCATCAGCCTGGCACCCCCGCGAACGGGAAGCGGTTCCCGCTCGCGCGCCAGAAAGATCTCGACTTCCAAGTTCGACTTCGCAAGAACGTGCTCGATGCCGGCCATCATTCGGTGGAGGTGTTCGGTCTGCCGCGGCGCCCGCACGAGGGCCCCCCTACCCGTGTGCGGCTGGAGAACTGGGGTTGCCCTGTCTTTGCCCTTGGCCAACTGCTCTGAAAGATCCCTGGCAGCCTGTGCCTCCAGCCGCCCAGTGCTACCCGGCATTCCACCTGAGCGCAGATCGGAGAGCCACAGAGCAGACACGCATGCGATTCCGTTGGAGGTCGCCTGCTCGATCAGGAACGTCTTCAGCGCAATCGGCGGCTCCAGGAATCGAGACGCCACGAAAGTCTTGGATCTGGCTCTGTCACGGGCCAGCTGCGGGAGCTTGATCAGGCACTCCTTCCGCGCCTCTTCGGCGCGGGACAGCGCCTCAGAGGCCGCCCGCTTGTCCACGGGAGGCCAGGAAGGTAGGCCGCCGGCGACTTCGAGGAGCATGCACAATCTCCTCGCCCTGTCCTCCACAAGTTCGATCGTCGGGATCGGCCCAGCGATCGAAGGAACTCCCAGTAGAGCCCAGCAGTCGACGGTGCCCGCGTTTTCCGGCAGAGCGTATCCGACCTGCCTGAGATACTATTTAAGCGAACTCCACGATGAAAACACCTCGCCGCACGCTCACAATTTGATCGGGCTCCCTGCGCCAGCGCCAACGAGACCTGCCGCCTGGATGTACTCCAGGTTGGCCATGACCGTCTCCGTGCACCACTCGCCCCACCCGCCCGCCAGCTGAAGGGATATCCCCCCGTGCGAGGCATCCTGTGCAAGGCGTGGCGGTGAAGGCGCAACCGTTCGGGGCTGCGGCTGAGACCGATGTTGAAGTCAGTCATATGTTGGGAGAGGCCCGATTGAAGCTGCCGGCATCGACCTGCATCGTGTCCTCGAGGTCCTGAGCCGGGGAAGGCTCGGGGGCCCCAGCTGCGACCCCGCGGCCTGTGAGCAAAGTGCTAGGGCCGCCGCCCCGGAGATAGAATACCATGTGCAGCGTCGCCTCCTTCTCGATGTTGTAGTCCTTCATCGTGAGGGTGTCTTCCAGCTGGTGCCCTGCGAAGATCAGCCGCTGTTGGTGAGGGGGTACCCCCTCTTTGTCCTGGACCTTCACCTTGATGTAGCTGATCGTGTCGGTGGGCTCCAGCTCATCAGTCGTAATGGTCGTCCCACTGACCGTCTTCACATAGATCTGCCCGATCATGTTGTCCTTGGACGTCGACTGCTGCTTGGCTGCCGCACCGAGAGTGCAAGCCGACTCCAATACGTCGCCCCCCGCGCTGTCGATGCCGAG